CACTGAGGGTCTGTGGGCACCGGGAGGCACCAGCTGAGCCCGTGCTGGGCTGAGCTGTGCCAGGCTGAGATTTGCTGGGCTGAGCCGTGCTGGGCTGAGCTGTGCCAGGCCGAGCTTTGCCAGGCCGGGCTTTGCCAGGCCGAGCCGTGCCGGCGCCGTGGGGAGCAGGAAACGGGAGCGTGGTGGCGGCTCAGCCCAGACACCTCCTCGGGTCTGGCCAAACCAGTTCTGGCGGCCGCTCCCAGCTCCACCTCACCGCCCTGGCATCCGGGGGCGAGGGAGCCGGCGCCCGCCGTGGGAACCGCCACCAGCCCCCCACGTCGGGGGAACCCCAGAACACCACCCCCGTTCCCGCCAGTGCCGGTGCCACGGCGCTGGGGGGGCTCGGACACCGGCCACGCTCTGGGTCCGGCCCTGGAGTGACCAGCACGTGGCACACGTAACACACACGTAACACACACGTAACACACACGTGGCACCTGCGGCCACGCCGGTGGCACTCAGTGGCACTCGGTGGCACTCGGTGGTATTCAGTGGCACTCGGTGGCACTCGGTGGCTGCGGCCCCGGCGGGGACGTCCCGGGAGGCCGCGGGGACTCGGGTTAATGATCCACCCTCTGCCTCTGCCCAGCCCATTCTGTCCCCTCCCCGTGCCCATCCCCGCCTCCTGCCAGCTCCCAGGGCCAAGTCCATGGCCGGGCAGGACCGATGCCATCCCATCCCATCCCATCCCATCCCTGTCCCCACAGTGTCCCCGTCCCCATCCCAGTGTCCCACCAGCACCCTCTGCTCCATCCCCGCTCCCTGCCCTGGCTCTGCTGGGGTCCCCCTGCCTGGCCAGACCCCGGGGGGACACGGGGACAGCCAGGGGTAGTGTGGGGTGACGGTGCCCATGGTGGGACACGGCACAGGGACACAGGGGAATGTGACAGATGGGGACCCCGAGGGGCCCTGGGATGGGGACACAGCCCTGCCACCAACCCAGCCCATCCCCGTGGCCTCAGGTCACCCCAGGGCCAGCCTTGCCCTGGTGGCCCTGACGGGGCTGTGACAGGGTGATGACCATGGCAGGGGGACACACAGGGTGTCCCTGGGGTCTGGGACAAACGGGGGGGACCCAGGGCCTCGGGGCTATGGGGGAAGGGGACAGGGCCCACCGGGGTTATGGGGTGGGGGACTGGAGGGGGTCAGGACCACTGGGCTGGGCCACGGGGCCACCAGGATGATGGAGCAGGGGGACCAGGGCCACCACCATGAAGGGACAACCCAGGGCGAGCAGGACTGGGGGGCAGGTGGATGTTGAGGCTGTGGGGTGGGGTCTGGGGGCCACCAGGGCTACAGGAAGGGTTCCAGGGCCCCCAGGATTAGGGGTCGGAGTTCCAGGGCCACCAGGATTAGGGGACAGATTCCCAGGGCCACCAGGATTAGGGGACAGATTCCCAGGGCCACCAGGATAAGGGAGGGGGTCCCAGGGCCACCAGAATAAGGGGACAGGGTCCCAAGCCCCCCAGCTGTGGGTGGGGGTCCCAGTGGGTGCCCAGGTGGGGGGACGGGGCTCCCAGGGGCACAGAGGCGGCGGGGAAGCCACCGGGGTGGCAGAGGAGGAGGAAGAGCCGGGAGGAAGGCGGAAGGGAGGGAAGGGGCAGGGACCCAACGAGGGGTTTGGGGTCGTTCCCGGCGGGATGGGGCTGACCCCCTGGGATGAGCAGCGGCCCCCCCGGCCCAAAGAGCCCCCGGCACAGCCCCGCTCCTACCTGCAGGCGCCCGCCGCGTCCCGCCACCCTCCCGCCGGACCGGGGATTCCTGTTCTCCCCGGGTTTATCTACCTGCGCCTGCCCCCGCCCCCGCCTGACATCACCGCGCCCCGGGGCTGCTGCCCGGCCCCGGCCCCCAACGCACCCGGGGGGGCCCCCACAGCTCCCCCGGACCCGGGGGGGTGGTGCCCAGCCCGGCCCCGTGCCGACCCCGGGGGCCTGGACCCCCCAAACCCCCCCGCCACGACCCCCCCGAGGTGGGGATGGGGAGTTTCCCACAATGCACTGGGGTGACCCCTGGAGCAGCCAAAGCTGGAGGGGACACAGGGCTCCTGGGGGGAGCACAGGGACCTCCGGGATGTCCTTGGGGTGCGGGTCCCGCGGGCCCCCGCCCACCCCCATGGGGGTCTCCAGCCCCAGGGTGTGGGGTTTGGGTCAGGGCTCCCCTGGGACCCCCCAGTGTGGGAGGCTGGAAGGACCCCACAAAGAGTGGGGGGTCCCACGGTGTCAGCAAAGGTGGGAGGGACTCCATGGGGTGGGAGGTTTTAGTGGGGGTCTCATGCAGGTGGCAGGAGGGATGTGGGGACCCCCCATGGAAGGGGGGCTGTGAGGAGATTTGGGGGGTCCCCAGGGGGATGCTGAGGGCCCTGTGGGGGTCCTGCGGGTCCATTGGTGACTCCCCAGGGTCTGGTGGGGGCACAAGGCCCTATAGGACTCCCATGGGAGTATTGGGGGGAGTGTGGGGTTCCCCGGTGGGGATCCCCGTGGGACCAGAGAGCTCCTGGGGGGGGTCATTTCAGGCCCCTGTGTGGGTCCCCCAAGGATCCCCTGCGGTGGGTTTGGGTGACACTGTGGTCACTCCCGGTCCCCTGGCCATCACTGGAGGTCGAGTTTGGTCCCCCTGGGAGGTCACTGGGGTATTTTTGGTCCCCTGGGGGGTCACTAGGGTATTTTTGGTCCCCCGGGGGGTCACTGGGGTCACTTTGGGTCCCGCAGGGGAGGTCACTGGGGGTCGTTTTTGGTCCCTCTGGGGTGGGTGTAGGTGACACTGGGGCGTCACTGCGGGTCATTTTTAGTCCTCCTGGGGGGTCACTGGGGTCACTTTGGGTCCCCCGTGGGGGGTCACTGAGGGTCATTTTTGGCCCCTCCCCGGGGGGTCACCGGGGTCACGCCAGGTCCTCCGGAGGCCTCGGAGCAGACGAGACGAGGCGGGGCGGCGGCGCGGAGCGGCCGGAAGGTGCCGCGTCACGTGACGGCAACCCGGAAGCGGCGGCGCGGCGGGAGCGGGGCCATGAGCGGCGGGGACGGGGACG